GTTTTGATTGTCATTGTTAAAATTGTTTGTCCATCATGTGGACTGAGCTTACCTGTAACTCCTCAGACTGAAGAAGTCTCTTGGAGAAGAGACAAAACTTTTTTTAACAAAGAAATTGTCCAGAGGATCTACTCACTTTTATTTTAGATCATAATGTTTGAGTGATTTGTTTGATTCCAGTTGGTTACGTTTTTGTGTGTTTCTTCCTTTCAGAGTGTGGAAGGCGAGCACCACGAGAAAGCCGTGGAACTCCTCAAAGCAGCTCAGGGCACAGTGAAGCTGGTAGTAAGGTACACCCCCAAAGTCCTAGAGGAAATGGAGTCCCGCTTCGAGAAGATGAGGTCGGCAAAGCGTCGACAACAGAACAACTATCCTCAGTAGGGTTTATTTTTTCCACGTTGATGCCCAGCTTCTTCATGTCTCCTCCTTTAGTATTTTGGTCATCAGTTCTAGTTTCTTTTTGTTGTTTTTGTACTCCTCCTCCTCCCACACACCAAAAGCATATAACGACCAATTTTAGCTGTATTTACTAATAAAATATACTGTATTTTTTGAGTCAGACCTCCTCTGTAGCATTTTTAATATTCACCACTGCTACCTGACACTAAGCTCTAGATAAAACACATAATGAAAATGATTGTCAGCCTGAGGCACGCCTTGTGCTTTGTTTTTGAGTTGACTGAATGCAACTTTGAGTACTTTTGGGATAAACTGTATGTAAAAATTACTCTTTTTGACAGAACAGGTAGTGTTTTAATCGTTTTATCACAGCCACTACCAAGTGCCTCAGGGCAAACACATTTATCTCACGTACTGTGTTAACTAACCTCGTTTCTGCGAACAGTTTAAAGTCAAGTACTGGTGATTGAAATGACTACACGCTTTGTATCTGTTAGTGTAAAAATGTTTATCGATGCAGTGATATGTAAAACCTTGGAGGGGCTGGTTAAGAGATCACGACTAAACAAAACTGATGTTATTTTAAGCGTTTTCTCTCTGGGCTCAGCTCTTTGGTTTTCTCTCGTCTTAGTGCACTATTAAAAGCCCAGAAGTGATGTAATGGGGTCTCAGCAAGGCAAGAGTTAAATCGGCGCCATCACAAAGACTCGCGCGTTAACGTTTATCAAAGTCCTAATTTTCCAGAAGAATAAACTCTGCACTCATCGGGAACTGAAATGAATCATGTTTGTGTGGATTTTATTAAACGCACAAACTTATTATGGACGCATGGATATAATTGCAGTAGAGGACTTTTATTTATTTTTTTCATAAACTGTTGTTTTTCAAGCACAAACTACATGTTTTCTTTTTGTGCATTTGGAATGTTTACAAGATAAAAGAAACATACCCATCTGTGTACCTGATGGTTTAAAGTCATGCTGAAGAATTACAGAGGTACTGCATGGTTCCCAGATCATAATGTGACCTCCGCTATGCTTTACAGTGGGTGCAGTGTTCTTAACGGTTGTCCTCAAAAGTGTCTCTAAGCATTGAGGCCAGAGTCTCCATCTTTATCTCATCTGATTATAAAACATTCTGTGTTTATTTTTAATATATACTGTATATATGGTCAGCTGCAAACTTTAGTAGCATTTTCTGCTGTTGTTGGATGATGACTCAGATCATGATGTAAAACTAACTGTGGACAGTAATATTGGTCCTAGAGGAGCGTATAGTCTGGAGCAGACCTGTTTCCTGGTCAAACGTTCAGATGACTTGTATGTACTCATATCTGAGAGATTGTGATCTGTGTAGTTTTATTTCTTTGATCTGCTTGGAGCTCCGTTGTTTAAAGGGATCCATGATTAGTTGTAACATTAGATTTTATTTGATAAACATATTAACTGTAAAATAAAGACTGTAAAAATACTGTAGAATGTTCAGTTTTTCTAATTTTTAAACTAAAAGTTTAAAAATATATTACACGGATGGAGCCATTTTATTTACACGCAAAGCATTCTGGGTAAATGATGACGTGGATAGGTCCTTGGTGCGACGCTGCCAGGGAGCTATATCCACCCTGAAGGTTAATCTTGGACAATATCTGATGATTAACTCTTTTAAATGAAACCAGAGAGCGTTAACAGAGAGGAGCAGGTAGAAATGACTCGGGCTGCAACTGAAAATATGGATGGAGGACAACAGTTTAGCTTGTTTGTCGCGCTAGCGCCAAGCTAATACATATAGGCATATAGCATTGGCGCTAAAGCTAACAGGCTAAGCTGGAGTTCTTCCTTCATGAAGCAGCTCTGTTGTCCTCCATCCATATTTTCAGTTKCAGGCTGAGTCATTTCTACCTTCTCCTCTCTGTCAATGCTCTCTGGTTTCATTTAAAAGAGTCGATCATCAGATATTGTCCAAGATTAACCTTCAGGGTGGATATAGCTCACTCACACCGAGGACCTATCCACATCATCATTTATCCAGAATGCTTTGCGTGTAAATAAAATGGCTCTGTCCGTGTTAAAATACATTTTTAAAAATTTATAAAACTAAACAGCCTACAGTATTTTTACAGTCTTTATTTTACAGTTAAAATAAATGTTTATCAAATGAAGTCTAATGTTACAACTAATCGTGGATCCCTTTAATATATATATATATATACATATATATATTAACACATAGACGTTTCTAGCTACTTTCTATCATCACAGAAAATGCAGAAATCTTTATAATTTTATGATTTAGACATTTAGAATGTCAGCACCAGGGATTTAACACTTTAGGCAACCATGTTTTGACTCTTTTGAGAAAACCTGAAGGCACAAAAAGAGTCTAATTATTGAGCTGATTCTGTAAACCATGAATGTAATATAATGTGTGTTTCATTTTTCTTTGACAGGTTTGCTACTTAATAAGCATCCAATTCCTGACAGTAGAATTTAAAAAATAAGAATAGGTAGACTTTGGTATCATCAGCCAGTCAGATAACTGTAGCTTGTAGCCTAAAACAATGTCTGAGATCATCTTTCTTTTAACTAATGAAACGGGAGACGTTAATACACAATTTCCCGTTTTCATCAACACTTTACAATCTGTTGTTTTATTCCACCTTCAAAACAAAAGTGTTTCATAAATCAAACATTCACCATGATTGCATTTTAATCCTAGAATCTGTTACAATGTTGAAGGATTATAATTTTATTAAAATGTACCAGTGCTAGGATAAGATGCGTATAAATGGGTGAAAAGAAAAGTTTTTTATGATGCTGCATTCGAAACAAACTTAAGTTCACATTTTATTCACATCTTTTATCACTGGAGATTTTTTTCATCTAAAAACTAACAAACATCTTTTTTTTTGCTCCCATGCCTGTTTATTAAAGAATGTGATAATGTCATTTTAATTTCTTAATATTAGAAATAAACGTTATTTGTTTTAATTTGCATTTTGATGTCGTTTAACACTCTGAACACACTGCAAAAAACTTTCATTATTGTTTGTAGGTTAACCTCTTAAGAAGCTCAAACTCATTCTGCATGCATCTCAACAGTCAAACAAAGCTGCAGCTTACAATGGTTTACTTTGAAACGATGTCACTGTGTCATCCACAAAATACTGCAACGTAAGTGATGGAATGACATTTATATATTTAACCTCTAATAGAACTCCTCATGATTTAGTTCAGTCAGTAATTGTTTTTCCCCCTAAGGTTTCTAGCTAACTAAGCCATACAGTTCTCCAGTCTCAGGCTGAATCTGTTCCGTCACTGAGACCGTAGAAAAAATGTTGAAAATGGCTATAATTAATGTAGGTGAAGCAAAAATTAGAGGGTAGTTTTTGTGCTCTATTTCGAGTAAACATTTAGTATTTGTTTTTTTATTTTTTATTGAACGAGTAGTTTTAAATTTGATCAAAATGAGCAGATATCCAGATGAATGTGGCACCAATCTGTTGCTTACGATCAACCGGACATAACGTCAGAATGTTTTGTGACCAGAAATGTACTATTTGTTGATTTAGTCATTTTATTCACCATCTTTCTGATACATCAGGGCTCAAAAATTCAACTACCATTGATATTATTGCTGCACCAAATTAGCTAATAGCTCACATAAAAGTTTTGAAAACTGTGAGTAAAAAAATAAAATAAAATAATGCGCATGTGTACTATTAATGATCCGCTTGTGTTATTGTATCGGATGGAAAGTCTGTAGATACAGTCAGGTTTCCACTGCAAATTAGTTATCTATGCAAAGTCTTTTTACAACTTTTTGTAAACCGTTGGTGCAAAATACTTGTCACAGTACTGCAAAATATTACTGGAAATTACATTTGAATTTGTGCTGCCAAATATGTTTTTTATGCAACAGCTTCAACAATTTGTGACCGAAATGAAATTCAACTGAACTGGACTTCTGGTTTTGGTTTTTTTGAAGACGTTTAGCTTTTTGATGGAGGAGTTTTTTTCAGTGAGCTGCTTCACTCTTATACAAATCATGTTGTACCCTTGATGGTTCAACCACTTGTCCTGGCTCCAATAATTCAATATGGCAATTCTCAAAAACCTGAGATTCTGGCTTTAATTTAAAAATATATGTTAATGGAATTGTTTTGATCATCTTCGTCAGTGGTTGTTACCTAAAGTGCTGGTTATCCTGTGCACTTATAGGATGTAGTTTAATTTCTTCCACATAAAGATCAAGACTCAACACCACTCAGTTTGGGTGTTTTTCGTTTTAATCAACCATTTTTGTTTGAGGTTGCCATTGGCTTTGAAGTTAACCCGGATATGTTTGAGCTTTGCATTATAGTTTACAAGTTTTAATTATAATTTTGAGAAATCTCCTCAAATAAGTAGCAGGAATCTCCAGTTCTATCTTCTACTGCTTATCCCTGCTCTAGTCACGGGGGCAACAGGTTCAGGAGAGAATACAGTACGTAGACATCTGTCGACTCTCCAGCTCTTTCTGGGGGTTCCTAAGGTTTTTCCCATGGCCCTTTTCCACTCGCGCCTCTACAGCATGGTTCGACTTGGCTAAACTCTGTTCAGCACAGTTCAGGTGGTTTTCCATTACACGTCAGCAACAGCTCTAGTGGGTGGGTTCMTCATAAAGTTGACCAGTCCCAAAGTCTGAAAATTGACACCACACGCCTTACCAGCTGGTGGCAGTTATGCTCCATTAAGCTATTTGCCAGACACCYTTAAACATAGAAGAAGACCCGCAAATGATACAAAACACAATAATGAAGGACAGGGTATTGTTATTGCAAATGGCAGATCGGGTGGTTGTGAGAGTAGCTCTTCTGATGTAACTAGTGACTCTACCCCTAACCAATCCGTGAACAACAGTCTTCTGATGTTGCATTTTCAGGCCAGCACGGTACACTTGGGCTGGTTCCACAAATCCTTGCTCATGGAAAAGCCTTGGAACCGTGGAGAGCCAAGCTGAACCGTGCTGTAGAGGCACTAGTGGAAAAGGGGCAAGTTCTGGGTCTATCTTGGGGTCTCTTCCTAATATGACATGCCCAGAAAACCTCCAAAGAGAGGCGTCCAGGAGGCATCCCAACCAGATGCCCAGACCACCTCAACTGGCTCGTTTCGATGCAGATGAGCGGCGGCTCCCGTTTCCAGTTTGGAACCATGGCCTCAAATTTAGAGGAGCATAAATGTCTTCCAAAATCCCAAAMAAGTCCAGTTCTTTAGATTGAACTCACTAAGATCACCATGCCCTGTATGACTGAGAACCTTCACCAGAACCAGCTGCAGCACTAACAACATTTATTGATGCTTGTACCCTTTTACTACTCATCACCATCATCGATTTGCAGTTACTGGTGATATTAAATGTTTAGGTTAGAAATAAATACTTTCAATAAGCAGCCTTACATCTATATCTGCGATAAAGGTGTCAACAGAAAGAAGTGTTTAGTTGTAACCTTCTATTCTGGTTGAATCAACGTTTATTGGGCAGGTTAGATAGAAAACGTTCTCTCAAATATTCACAATTAGTGTTGATTGTGTAACATTAGGCGATCTCATGTCTCCTTACAAGTATTATTTTGTTAGTTATTAACAACATAAATATTCTGCTTTGTTTAAATAGAYAGATTTAAACTTGTTTTCATATCAGAGTTCCCAATCAGAGACCAATCTAGAGACTGGGTGGAGTTTAGTTTTGAGTTGGGTGTACATAGGTCTTAAAATAATGTATATTATGTCTGTTAATTATGTTTTATCTAACAGTAGCTTGCTCAATTCACTCCTCATATACATAGATGTAAAGAAGAAAGATGTAAACACACTTAGTGTTGATATTTCACCGTCACACTTCCACTGAATGTCACTGACCAATGTTTGAAATCACCTTTCAACTTTTTACGTGTTTTCTTTGTCTGTAAATCTGAATGGTCAATAGAATATTTTTTATAATGGGTTTGTTTTGATATTTTTCTCAAATTTTATAAGTGGTTTTCCTAAATAAAAAAAGAAAAACATGATAATTGGTACCACCATTTTGACTGTGTACCAGGGCCATATCAGCTCAGCCTTTCTGGAGTGAAGCTCTGATGCAGGACGAGTTTTCTGTCCAATATCTGTGCTTTTGTCCTCTGAGCTCCTAATTGTTCTTTTCTTTAGGACTAAGACCAAATTACCACCTTTGTTGAAGTTTTGATAATGTTTTGAGATGTTTTTCATCAGTGCTTATTTAATGTAAATGCCTGTAGATTGTGTTATTTTGTGTGGTTTGGGTTGTGTTTTCTTGTGTTACACTGATGTGGAATGAAAAATGTTGTGATGTAGAACATAAAAATAGATGTACTAGAAACTCAATAAATTGTGCTAACGTTATGAATTTTAAGTGCATATCATTTATTTTGGGTTTAAGCTTACTAACGACAACAAAGCCAAAGAAAAAGTGGTTTTGAACACCTGCCTCCATATTTTTGGTGCTAAAGCAAGAACGTTTGGCTTGGTATCAGGCGAGCTGGTGCCTTTTTCTGGTGGTCATTGTGTGAGAGGCAGAGGGCATCTTACACAGGTCACAAGTCCAACACAGGTCACAAGTCCAACACAGGTCACAAGTCCATCACAGAGAGGAAAAACAACTCTTACCTGAGGACAATTAGAATTACAGTTTAACCTAAACATGCATGTTTTCAGTCTGTGGGAAGAAACCAGAGTACACAGAGAAACCCATGTGTGCACGGGAACACACAAACTCCACACAGAAAAGCCTCAGGCAGGTAATGATCCACMGCACCATCCCACCCCAGCATCATAATTAAATATACCAAACAATAATACCTGTTCTGTTTTTTTAAAAGTACAGAAAATGAAGGCAGTTGTGTAAAATTTCAAATTATATTGTTCAAAATTTTTAACTAAATAGCTTAAAATTTGTTATTTTTTAAGATATTTTGTTTTAGCTTATCTATAGCTTATCTTTTGTAGATTTTGGCCAGSCTTTTGCTTCTTTTAGCTTCTAGTCACTGCTCTACTGTTTAGATTTTATTTAACCCTTTGATAGCTTTTTGCTATATTCAGCATAAAGCTGACCTTTTGTTACTTGTAGCTTTTAGCATTTTATACATTTATCTTTTTTTTGCTATTTCTAAATTGTGTTTTTAATTATTTTGACCAGCTTTTGCTACTTCAATCATATAGACTTTTGACTTATAGTGTTTTTTGCAGAGTTGTAAAGTAAAGTAGAAATTTTGGTTTTACTTGAGTCCTTAATTTTCWGATGACATTTTAATTCTGCTTACATTTTATATGTACTTTCTACGCCTTACATTTTTGAAAAAGGTAAAGTTGTTACTCCTTTTGGCTTGTTTTCAGCTTATTGTTAAAAATATTTAAAAACATTTCCAGATAAATTGTGCCTCCTGGATCYAGTGAATTTAACTGGTTGGATGAGAAGTATAAACATAAACCCCTCTGACACCCTTTTGGGGAGATCACCTCAATAAATGTCATTTTGGACATTCMAAGTGCTTTCACTCAATACTGAAGTACATTTTACACCAGAAATTTACTTTTGATAGTTATAATGTCAGACATTAATTGTACTTAATACTTCTATTTAAGTAAAATTCTTTTAGAAGACTTTACCTTTTACCAAAGTAATTTTATAATAAAACACTTGTACTTTTACTATTGCTTTAAGGTTATATTGTTGCTGCTTCTAGCGTTTACCACCATTCTTATTTATTGTTTTCTTATAACTAGTGTCTGGCTCAGCATTCCCATTTCTGCAGAAAATGTAATTCCTCTAAGTATGTGTTGTAAACYTTGCACTTAAAAAATGTAAATGTTCCATAGAGGTCGTCAGCAGATCAGGGCAGTTTGCCTGCAGCCGAACAGTTCATAAATAGCTCAGTAGAGATTCATTAGAGCCGGATGTTCTCACTACAGCTTGAGACCACAGCACAGCTGCCAGTTTCTCACGGTGGAGATGCTGTTCYCTGCAGAATGTCAAGTGTTGATGGTTCACTTTATCTTTTCTGGCAACCAGAATCAATCATTACCTGGCACAAAGCAGCATGACCGAAGAAGAAGCGGGAGGGCAAACAGGACCTGGAGCCAAAGCAACAGCAAAAGACAGAAGAACTGTGTTCATGATGAAGCACATTATAACACACAGTTTGGTACAAGAAGAATATTTAACTGCCTTTTGAGACAAGAAGATGCAACTAATATTTAGAAGTGAGTGATTTTCTGTGTCACAAACGCATCAGATTTTAAAGGTTAAGTGAGTTGTCAAAATTATAAATTGATATAAGATAAGATAAAACTTTATTGATCCCACAGTGGGAAAGTGTGCACCACTGCAGCTCAATACAGGAGAGGGTGAGATAGAATAAAGAAAGATAAGTAAAAGAAAAAAACATATTAAAATTAGAGATATTTAATATAAAGGTTTCTTATTTAATTTGTGAAGCATTCAAGGACCGCAGGAAAATATTCCCAACAATTAAAAMTGTGRAGTTTTAAAATTCCAGAATAAACAACAGACACACTCCGGTGCAGCAGGAACCACTGCAGGGTTTCGGTTGCTTTTRGGGTTGTGCGAAGAAGAAGAAAGTTGTTTCCGCCGGTTTCCGGTGACGCCACTTCCTTTCTGTTCGAGCCAACCTCGAAGTGAACACGCGTTCTCCTGCCTAGCCCAAGTGAGTGCCTCTTTTAAAACCACAATAAAGCATCAATCCCTGGTGAAACAGTGCATCTATCAAAATAAGAAACTAACCTTCCAGTCCCGAGAAGTTAAATCATAAAAAAGCGCCATTTTGTTGAGATTTGTCTTTTACTGCCGACAGCAGTAGCCTGGTTAGCCGTTAGCATAGCAGCGGTAGGGAAGAACACGATAATTCATGGACAGAAAACGCAAAGTTTTTGTTATTTTTACACTTTCCCGTCATGTTTGTCACGTAGAATAAAGTTGGATTAAAGCAGAGACATGTTTAACTCGTAAAGATGGCAGACTGGATGAGAGCTGGGTCATCCTAAGGAAATTAGCACCGATTTGTTCTGTGAAATGACCACAAATTCAGAAGTATTATTGTAACACTCAAAATTATATATTTGCAAAAGCTTCAGCTACTGTATTTGTAAGGCTTTTGAAAAACTAAATTAAAACACTGCTTACATTAGAAATTGCTGGTTGGCCTAATCATAACTTTAAACCATCAAATTATTGACTATATTTAATTAAAGGGGTTGTTTCTCTGCATAATACTCCTTAAAATCTTCTATTTATGCAAGTTGAAGTTCTAAAATAAAAACGGAGTTAGGCCTTTTATATTGGATTGTGTTTATACATGTAGTCACATGGGCAGTTTTATTCAGACCTTGTTGACTTTATTTACAGGATGCGTTACGTTGCTGCTTACCTGCTGGCTGCCCTGGGTGGCAATGAAAACCCAGACACCAAAGACATCAAGAAGATCCTGGATAGTGTCGGCATCGAGGCTGAAGACGCAAAYATGTCAAAGGTGCAAAGCTGTATGCCCTTTTAAAAAAAAAATCATCTGCAATTTCATTGCCATCTCCTCACAGCTGATGATCTCTTTAACAGGTCATCTCTGAGCTRAAAGGCAAGAATGTGAATGAGGTCATTGCCAGCGGTAAGTTCAACTATTTTTATTTTTTTGCCTGATGGTTAAGTTTAGTAGATATTTAAATGGTGTTGCTGAAATCTTGAGTGCCTCTATAGTTATWAGCAGCCGTGATGTTTAATCCAGAAATACACGAAATCAGTTTTATCAAAATTAATTAGAAACAAAATATTTATGTCTTAACTTGTTTTTGATGTTTGTTTCTAATATCAAAACAAAATCTTTTAGAAGATGTAAAAAAAGTTCAAATTATATTTGGAAAAATATCAAAATAAGAACAAGATGTTTGTATGTYTTTTACCATAATAAATGTAATATGCAGTCATTTGCTAGTTTGGATGTTTGAAAGCTAGATGAAGCAAAACTATTGGAATAATGAGCTCGCAATCTAGTTGTAGAATATAATTTTTAAGTTTAGGACAGGTTCCTTATCAATGCTTGATTCATTGACTAGTTGCAATTTATTGATTACTTAGTTTGAGCCAGACTCAATTGTTCTTTTATTAATGATCAAATATGAACATTAAAACGGTAAAAATAATTATATTTGTATTTTTACAATTAACAAAAAAGTTTTAACTGAATTTTCTCTGAACTAGGAGTGATTGATGCTCACTTCAAAAGATAATTTTAATTGTAAATCTTGTTGAACAGAGAATTTAGTGTGCAACTTTTACTGCTGAATCACATCCTGTGTGGTTTGTGACTGATCTCATCACTGCTGCGAGTCTCCATCATCACCTGTACTTCATCTCTGCCAACCTGTTTCTCCTCAGGTTACGGTAAACTGGCCAGCATGCCAGCAGGAGGCGCTGTAGCTGTTGCCAGCTCTGCAGCTGGTGGCGCAGGTGGAGCTGCAGCTCCTGCGGCAGGTGAGCATTTCAGCTTAGCACCTTGTCTGTCAGCATCACTGACACTTGGCACAAAAAACAGAGAAATTAATGTTCAGATTGTTTTTCTTTGTGATAGTTTTTATGTTTTTATTTAGCTTTTTATTATGTTTTTAATTGGTGTTTTTATAAAGGATATGAATGTGAACAACATACTTCTTTATAATTTCCTCTGGATTATTAAAGTACCTCCTAACCTTGTATAATTTAGGACCCGTCACATCGAAATGAGGATTAAGTCCAGAAGTGGAATGTGAAGAAATAGGCAGATATAGACACATATAAACCTGTTTAAAAATTGCATTTTGTCAAAATATAATGAATTAATGCCTTATCAATGTATCATTTGAATGAACTGTCTAAAAT